TGAAGTTGTCGGTGTTGTCCTGCATTGTGATCACTGGGCAGGAAGCCACCTCTGTAGAGGAAAATAGACATTGGACAGCATCAAAAGAGCTGCGTGCTGCGTGATCATTCCATAGCATGGGTGTCAAACTGGCAGCCCTCCAGCTGTTGCCAAACTACAAGTCCCATGAGGTATTGCAAAATTGACAGTTACAAGCATGACTCCCAAAGGCAGAGGCATGATGGGACTTGTAGTTTCGCAACGGCTGGAGGGCCGCCATTTTGACACCCCTGTTCTATAGAATGTGCTTGGCATGTTTATATGTAGTGATCAGCCAGGCAAGTCCATCCTGGTTAATTAATTCCTCCAGCAATAATGGTTGACTGTGGGGTATCTTCCCAGGTCAGGGCTAGCTTGTAGACTTATGGCTACTTACCAATTTGACCGATATTGGCTGGATAGAGTAACTTTAATATACACATGTATCCCAATTCAAAGCACTACACCTGCTCTGTCTACAGTACATTTTGGTGACATTCGTTGTGAATGGCAGTCCAGAGCATTGTACAACAGAGCCTAACACATTGCAGTGCACCACAACACATATTGTGCATTGTGCTGTGTTAGATCTTGAAAAAAATGATGTGCATGTTTTTCATCCATTCGAAAAAAAAAAATAAAGTCTGTCTTGACATACTCTTTACTATAAGCAGACCCAGTCTTTACAGGCCAGCTCCAGGAATTACACAAGATTTACCCTTCTTCCCCCCCCCCCCCCTCACCACCCACACTGTAAGGGTTAAATGTTTGTTAAGTCTAGTAATAGAGGAATAAGCTATAAGGCTGCTTTCGCATTGGGCATTTAGCCATGGTGCGAATCCCATCGACAAGAATCTACTTATTCCTGCTGCTGAGATTTACAATTGCACGTGGATAGCAGTGGCTGCCGAGCCTGGACACTGCAATGATAGGCTGTCAGTGACTGCAGCCATTCTTGCCTGCTTGCACTGCTTTTATTGTGTGCGTCTGGCTGCGATCGCTGGCTTTGCAAACACGCATGAATATCTGCAGCCGCCGACAGCCTGTCATTGCAGTGCTTTGGTTTGGCGTCTGCTGCTGTGCGCAGGCAGCTGTCGATCCCGAAATCAGCAGATTCCTGCCTCTGGGATTTGCACCGTGGCTAAACGACTGTGCAAATGCAGCCTTATATTTATCTCAGTGTTTCTCAACCTTTTTTCAGTCAAGGCACCCTTAAAAATTATACACAGTCCCGAGGCACCCTTTAAAATTATGGAAAGTCTTGAGGCACACCATTCTAAATGTGAAAAGTTTTATATAAACGCAATAACGACCACACATGTAGGACCCCCAATATTAAAAGGCGATTTATTCTTCCAAAGCAAATACACTTTTGCACACTGGTACTGAGTAGTATTCCATTGTTTCTCTTCTCCTTCAGTTTTTCTCCATCACTGAGAAAACTAGGATGCTGCACAGGCAACCAACATCCTCCTTATCTACTGATGATATCATTGGTTGTCAGGGCACCGGCAGCTAGAAGCTCATAATGGAGCACAATGGAAACCTGTGGCTTTGTGTAACTAAAAGGCAGGCTTGTATACACATTTTGGGCAATTTTTAGACATTTTGCCAAGGCACCCCTGAAGAAAGCTCATGGCACCCCAGGGTGCTTGGGCACCCTGGTTGAGAAAGGCTGACTTATCTTATTCCTCATTGTTGTGCTTCTGCGCTCTCCTCTTTTCTCTGTGATCCAGGCTTTGGGTGGTTCCTAGCCTTCTTCATATACAATGCTGGGCTGCTGACCCTGCATTGTATTTGATGGCATCAGCATACTGCCAGCTCAAGCACCTTATGGCTCATACATGTCATAAGAAACTCATAGTAAAATTTCCTTACGAGGAATGATTGGTGGATTATCTATTCCTTAGTATATACCTTATTCCTATACCCCTGGTCTTAAAGTGGATCTAAAGGCTTAAGGTGTTTATATCTTCATGCATTCCATGTATGTAATACTTACCTGAACCCGATCATGATCCAGTGTAAGGGAGCCTCGGCTCCAACGGGTCGCTCTGTCCTAACACTGAGACACTGAGCCATTGGCTCCTGCTGCTGTCAACCACAGCCAGTGAGGAGTGTACCGCCCCTTGATGACGTTGTGGTAACGAAACGCATTTGGGCGTGGCCTACTCGATGCTGACGTCAGGACGTTCTGTTCCCAATGTGTGTTGGAGGTGATCCGCGGTGAGCGGGGATCTTCGTTTGCTCAGTTGCTGTGTAACGCTGATTAAGCTGGTGTCTGTCTGGACCACTTTTTTGTGAGTTCCTTGGAAAATTTATTAAACACATTTTTTTTTTAAAAAACGTATTGCACCATTATGTTTTTTCTTTTGTCCCTGAGTGCACCTTATGCATTATGGAGGGATGGATTTGAATGGAGAGATATATTATGAGATCTTTGGCTGCAGAGTATTGCTTCTGGTAGTGATATGCTGTTCTCTATGCCGACTGCCATTATTGATCATCAGGATTTGATTATTTATTACATCTAATACCTGGATATCGTTTCACCCATCGCTCCCAGAGCACAAGTGCTATTGCTGGTCTATAATTTGATCAGCATTTAGCTCTGGTGAGTTTATTTAATTCATTTGGTGGTGGATTATTCACAGTTCACAAAGGATTTTTTGACTGATTTTTTGGACTTGCACAGATTTAATATGGACACTTATTTATTTGGTGATATATATATTTAGCGCATGCCTATATGATATATTGTTCACAGCCAGTGAGGAGTTGGGCCAAGCCCCGTTCTGTATGTCTTATGAACACACAGAGCAGAACTCAGGAGTGAGCATGCACGAGTGACCCCAGAGCAAGCAGCTTGCTATGGGGGCACTCAGAAAAGAGGAGGAGTCAGGAGCGCCTGCAAGGGACCAGAGAAGAGGAGGATCAGGGCTTCTCTGTGCACAACCATTGCACAGAACAGGTAAGTATGATGTGTTTTGTTATTTAAAAAAAATATTTACTTTTAATGGCACTTTAACAAGCACTGCATAATGAGGAAGGGGTCATTTTTGTAATTTTGGTAATTTGTAATGCTGGGAATGCTTTATTAAAGGGGAAGACTCTATGATAATGTTACTGCACTAGAAGACTATACAGATGTAGAGGAAGAATAAAGAGCGCACCAGTGAGAATGATCGTACACAGACAGCAATGCAGTTCAGCTGACTGTCAGCAGTTTCAGTCCACTCCCTCAAGGGTTAATACAGTGACTGTGGCAGGATTGGGGTTAATGCTGGGTGTGGGTGGGTTAGTTCCTACAGCCGGTCTCTGCCTCATCACTCTCATATTCAGTGTGATCTGTGTGATCTGTACTGGCTCGCAGCTCCCATCATGGTGATCTCTAATCATTGGGCAACAGGTGAGCAAAGTGGTGGAGGGGGTGGCGGGCACTGCATTGCATTTTCAGCATGTTGGGATGCTGCGGTTAGATGAGTGATGCTGGGGGAAGCACAGCTACATCGTCTTCGCAGGGTACCTGTTCAATGGTGATTGCTTTACAGCTAGGGGAGAACTTTGTGCCTGATCTAGGTCAGCCTGAGCAACCAGTACGGCAGGTTGTATTTTATGCACAGCAACCAATCGGCTTCTAGTTTAATGAATGCAGTCATCTCATTGGTTAGAATTATTAGAGGCTTGACGTTTTCAGAAGGTTTTTAAATAAATGACTCCAGTTGACTTTTAATGCCTCCTGCACACTAGACATTTTTAATGCTGCTCATATGGGCATCTGGCATTTTTTTTTCTGCCTCTAAATGCCCCTGCACGTTAGTCTATGTGTCCTTGCACACATAGGCATTTGAAGGTAGGGGCGTTTAGAAACAGAAAACATAAACACATCCAGGAGCAGCAGTGTTTTGGCAAGCAGTTGACGTGCCTAAACGTGCGGTAATGTTAGGCACATTTAGCGCTTGAGCGTTAACTCATTTCAGTGGTCAGAGTAAATTTATTATTGTGACCAATTAAACTAATTAACGTCCTATCGCTTGACTCACCTACACGTTACACATATTTATAAGCATCCTATTTATAAGCATCAAGCATTTTTTCTAACAAAACGCTGCTGGCAGGAGGAAAGGCGTTCAGTAGAGATAACAAAACGTCCAATGTGCATGAGGCCTTAAGTAAGATCTTAACATTTGGAGCTGTAATAACTGATGCATTTTACTGTTTTTGCTTCTAAGTCAGAGTAAGAAAAAGGCAAATCGAGACCCTGACCCTAGCTGTGCACAGTGCCTACCCCCTCCATTGCATCGGTAAAGCATATGCAAGAACTGAGCAGAGAAAACTTTTCTTTTTTAGCCTAGGTTAACAACTAAGCATTTTCTGCAGCGTTTTGCAGAAACGCACTAAAGTCTATTTAACATGATTTCCTATGGGGCATGTTCACATCTTCCCTTCCTTTTTTGTGGAAAGTTTGTTTTTGGTTCTATAGACTTCAATGGAAACGCTGCAGAAAAGCATGTAGTGCATTTTTTGATGCGTTTTAATCTGCCTAGCAACAAGAAAAAAAAAATAAAAGCAAAACACATCAAAAATGCGTCAAACGCATGTGCAAAACTGACCGCAGAAAGCACTGCAGAAACTGATCAAACGCAAACTGCATAGGTGTGGAGCTGAATGGCACACAATTGCGTGGTGTTTGCTGAACAACCCCATTCACTTGGAAAAATCGCACTTGGCAGGCGACACATCCTCCAAAAGCAAAAGGGGGTATAATTCCTACCACAAAGCAAAGCATGTGTTCACTCCTGGCTGCTGCCTCTGCAGCTGACAGGCAAGCAGTAAAAACGTGGCTGAACTGTGGGGTATTACCACCCCTTAACAGGAAGCCCTTAGTAAGGACCCATGTACGTCTTTGCAGTGCATTTATGCACTTTGGCGGCTCATTGAAAATGAAAGGCCTTCCAACCAGGGGCGGACTGACAACTCATGGGGCCCCCCGGGCAATAGGGGATCATGGGGCCCCTGTGTCCTTGCCCAAACTCAAAAAAGCCTATGAAAAAGGTACCAGGGGCATCTCATGGGGCCCCCTACTGACCCCGGGCCCTCGGGCAGTGCCGAGTTTCCAAATGGTAAGTCCGCCCCTGCTTCCAACGCATCCTAATATGGTTAAAAAAAAAAAGACCCTTTTTTTGTAACACAACACACGACAGTGTAGCTGCCTTGCCTTAGTGCATTGAGGTGCCCGTCAAAATGAATAGCACCTCAACGCAAGAACACATGTTGCGTGCTTGACTGTGTGTTGCAGGGATAATGCATTACCTCAACACAGAAGAGTGAATGGGCCCCAAACCTATTCAACTACGGCATACTAAGAAGTAGGAGAAAATTGCACAAAGCTTCTAAACTTCAGCCGATACACTGAATTTACAGACCTTAACCAAACTGTATTGGCTTAGCTGCTCTAATGGACACCATACACTGTACAATCTTTTAAAATCCACTTTAGATTTACCAAAGCTATGTTATCCTAGCTTACTTAATATATCCATTCAATTCCTGTTCAGTTGGGTAGGTCCTTTTACTACATTGTAGTTGGTAGCTCTAAAGGAGATTGTACAGTCAGATTGCAATGTGTGTGGTGAGTCTCAGATTACATTAAAGTCATATCATGACCAATTCATGATTTTTGGGCCATTAAGCATAAACAAAATTCTTGTAAGCATTCACTCGGGTGCAGGGCTGTGGATGAGGGGGTACCACCTGTCCTCAAGCCAGCAGGGGGGCCCTGGCAGTTTATTAAATCGGATGTGGGCAGGGAGGGTGATTGGCGGGGGTTACTGGAACCGATCCCCTGTATGGCTCTCCCTGCAAGAGCTGAAAGCTGGATCCTTCTCCTCTCCCACCACACCCATCACCGTCCCTGTGCACCATACGTTTCCCCCTGCTGCCCAGGGCCGTGGATAAGGGGGTACCATCAGTCCTCCTGTACCGGGCCCAGGCCAGCAGGGGGGCCCAGGCAGCTGGGTGAATCAGATGTGGGCAGGGAGTGTGAGTGGCACGGCAGGGGGGGGGGGAGGGGACAATTACTGGACCCTATCCCCTGTATGTCTCTCTCTCTGCAGCAGCTGAAAGCTGTCTTATTCTCCTTTACCCCCTCAGCTGCCTTTCAGCTGATGCAGAGAGAGACATACAGGGGATCAGTTCCAGTAATTTAACATCCCCTTTCTTTCCCGAACGAACACAATTGAGTGATCAGTACCGATAACTCACTGTGTTCATTCAGAACTGAAACATAATAAACTGTGTTTTTTTTTTTGTGGGGGTGGGGGGTCCCTGTTAGGTTGGCTGTAAGGGGCCCCGTGGTTTCTAACAGCCACCCTGCTTGGGTGTACCAATCTGTATGCTCGTATGTAGAGCACTCTTCTGCTGCCTGAGATTCACAGGTAGTCCTTGCAGGCAGCCTGTTGAAATCAGTGACAGGCGTTTGGCTGCATGGACCTCCCCGTGCATACTGGAGCACACACCTGTATGGATTCCATGCATGGATCATGACACAGACAGGCTGGGTTCTGATCCAATCATTGGACCTGCACAATTGTGTCCTCTGGAATGCACATGGAAGTATGTGCAGCCATTCACCTTCAGTTGATTTCAACAGGCTGCCTGCATGGAACCCCTGTGTGTCCTGTGGGAACCCCCCAGGTCCTTCCCACAGGTATACAGATCGGTATGTCAATGTGAATGAGGCCTTCTATGCTAAACACAGGCACTGAAGACTTGTCCACCTGAAGATCCTTTATTATCCTAGTTAGGGACTTTCTCAGCTATGATTGGAGGACACACACTAGAATTCAAATGGACACCAATGCATTTGGTGGATGTAAGCAATGACCACATCGTTTTCTGGCACAGAAAGTATTTCGGTGTTCAGAAGTTGTACAGCGTTTGTATAATGATTGTGCTTTTTCACATTTCTAGTGACATCTGTGCAGTGTGTTTAGGTACGTTTTTCATGTGCTTTATGTGCATTTACCATTGAGCTCTTTATAACACGCGTTTTGATGAACGTGCAGGAAAGATGCAGCCAGCAGGATTTTTTTAACACACGGCACCTAAAGCGTACATATATTCTTTCCTGAATCCCGGTGAGCTTTGTGTATTTCTTCAAGATCTTTGCAGTAATCCAGTGTGAGACTTTTCCTTCCTGTAATGAAGACCGCTCACTGCTGCTCTCTCTCCTTGTGCCGGGTGACTGGTCTTTTCTCCGCCCCATCTTGTAGTTTTCGGTAGGCAGCCTTTAGTAGGTGGAGCCTGCTGGGCCCCTCCCACAGCTCTGCATTCTGCACAGCCTATCTCACTGCTACTTATAGAGGGTAATATCTTGGTTTGTAAAGGCTTTTAGTGCACACAAAGTAGATTGCTATCCTCTGTGGCTATTTAAGCGGTAGTAAACAATTAGGAAAAAATAATCCTCTGCAAGGTAATGTCATGATGTGCTAGTATGCATTGCACCAACTAAAATGGTGCCCTGTCATCGCTGCAGAGGATCCCTTCCTTCAGGCTGACCGCACAGGCCGTGGTGACGTCATGCGCACGGGTGTCCTGGGCCACAGCACAGTGCTCTCAAGGACCGGCACAGACAGGGGCGGACTGACCATTTGGAAAATTTGGACACTGACCAAGGGCCGGGGTCAGTAGGGGGCCCCATGAGATGCCCCTGGTACCTTTTTCATAGGCAAACCACATTTCCTATAGCCAGGTGCATAAAACTGCCGCTCGTTACTCCAATGATCAGTCTAGGGGTTGTAGTTTTTGTTGTTTTTATTTTGTTTTGGAACTGGGATTGGGAAGGGTTATGTTGGGATACTCCAAATCCCTGGGAAGGGCTGGCATGGTTGCTATACATAGATTCCAAAAAACATAGCACCCTTCCTCGGTAATCCTGTCAAGAGCCCTCAGCTCTTTTGCGAGCAGTGGGCTGGCTCTTGAAAGGAGTTATGCAGATTTCTAAATGCCCGGATGGGTGTCAGTCCGGAGAAGTGTCAGTCCGGAGAAGTGGGCCTTCTTAGGCAGGCTGCGTTTGCATGCACACCAACATGCGATACTGAGCCCCCAGTGTTAAAAGATTTGAAATCCAAGAATGAAAGGGGCTCATCAGAAAGAGTCAGGCTAAAGTGGAAAGGGGTAGAGAAGGCTGAATGTCCTCCAGTCAGGAAGTTAGGTGGTCTCTGACTTGCAGCAGCTTCTAATACACATTATGAGAAGCTCACAGTGTGCAGTGAAATCAGAGTAAGCAATTTCAGTAGTGGAGAGGGGCCTGTACAAATGTGCATGTGCAAGACTGAAGGGAAGGCTGGAGTCAGGGGTGGACTGACCATTTGGAAACTCTGGCACTGCCCGAGGGCCCGGGGTCAGTAGGGGGCCCCATGAAATACCCCCGGTACCTTTTTCATAGGCTTTTTTGAGTTTGGGCAAGGACACAGGGGCCCCATGATCCCTTATTGCCCGGGGGCCCCATGAGTTGTCAGTCCGCTACTGGGCACAGATATGCTTTTCCTTCAGAGCGCATGCGCCGGCTCTCAAAAAGAGCAAATATCTCCTAAACGGTGCAGGTTTAGGAGATATAATAAATCTTACCTGTAGGTAAAAATACACAAAACGACTTTACTGCCACTTTAAGGAATCTATTTCAATGACAATTTTTGTGCGCAGAGTTCAGCTGTGACTCAAATAATTGATTTACTAAGGATTCCATGCACCCTAATGATTCAGGCAAAGAATGAATTTTAATAGCAAGTCTGCTTTAAATTCTCCCTGAATGACACAGGTTCCTTGTATGTAGAGAAGCAGATTGAGAGTGCTGCTGTACCTGAACAATGGGAAATGAAAGTGAGAGAAACATTCTGCCCCGGTCTGTTAGGAGTGAAAAGTATAAAGTGATTATATGTTATGATAAAAATGCATTGTGAGAGTATTGTGCGCTTGTGTGGGAGGTTTCGGAAATGTCTGTTTTGAAAGGTTTTACCTAGCGCTATTACATTAATGCGTTGTGTTAGATTAGATCATCTACCCATGATCCCTGCACAGCGCAGTCAGCCGTAAATATGGGAAATCATTTACTGATGCTCTCCGGAGGCTGCTATAAGCTGCATTGTGCACTCCTGGCAGATATAGTCAGTAGTGTGATTCCTGCAGCTAATTTCCCTCAGTGCAGGATTGCACTGTGATCAGCCGATAGTAACTGCCAAAATGTGGGGGGAAAAAATTGGGGGTGGGGTGGCAATTGATAAAAAGGGTGAATTAAAAAATACACAGCAAATATATTCGATATAGAAAATAATATAAAAGGAAACTATGCTTTAAAGCTGGCCATACACACATCTTTATTTCATTCAAACTGTGGACTGAACAAAAGATCTTTAACAGCTTCCTCCATCCATGCTATATAGCCAAGATGGAAGAAACTCCTCAGCAAGCTATTGTATTCTCACAGCTGACTCTGACCAGTGACGACAGCTTGGCCCAACAATTTTACATCCAGATCCTTCTGCAAAAATCGACTAAACAATCACATTTGGTCAAGCCAGGTGGTGCTTACAGGGGTGCATTGGGTGCCCCTGTCAGCACCAGCTGGCTGGAATGTCGGCACGAATTGGACATTCAAGTCACCTGTGGCAGCCTCATGACTGAACAACAAAGTGGCAAGACAAATGGATTTTATTTGTCCTCTGTCCTGCTCTGCTTTGGCTGTATGCCGGCTTTTGAAGTGCCCCTCAGTCCTAGTGTAGCTTGAGCCCAGTTATGACCAGGGGCGGACTGACCATTTGGAAACTCGGGCACTGCCCGAGGGCCTGGGGTCAGTAGGGGGCCCCATGAGATGCCCTTGGTACCTTTTTCATAGGCTTTTTTGAGTTTGGGCAAGGACACAGGGGACCCATGATCCCCTATTGCCCAGGGGCCCCATGAGTTGTCAGTCCACCCCTGGTTATGACATGTGAGTGTTCCTCAGTCCTGGAGTATCAAGAGTCCAGTTTGTCATGATACGGAAGTTTTTGGAACTGTCAATGGAATGATTGGTCTGGTGACATCGGTATCTGAATCCTGGAGTATCGAGAGCCCAGCTTATGTCCTGGAGTATCGAGAGCCCAGTCTATGTTATGATTTAGGTGTGCCATTCAGTCCTGGAGTATCGGGAGTCAAGCCTATGTCATGATGTGGGAGTGCCCCTCAGTCCTGGAGTATCGGGAGCCCAGTCTATGTCTTGTGGGAGTTTCCCTCAGTCCTGGAGTATCGAGAGCCCAGCCTATGTCATGATATGGGAGTGCCCCTCAGTCCTGGAGTATCAAGAGCCCAGCCTGTGATATGATTTGGGAGTGCCATTCAGTCCTGGATTATAGAGAGTCAAGCCTATATCATGATGTGGGAGTGCCCCTCAGTCCTGGAGTATCGAGAGCCCAGCCTATGTCATGATGGGAGTGCCCCTCAGGGAGTATCAAGAGCCCCTGTGATATGATTCCCGGAGTGCCATTGTCTGGATTATAGAAGTCCGAGTCTATATCATGATGTGGAGTGCCCCTCAGTCCTGGAGTATCGAGAGCCCAGCCTATGTCATGAGTGGGAGTGCCCTTTAGTCCCGGAGTGTCAAGAACCAGTCTATATCATGATGTGGAGTGCCCCTCAGTCCTGGAGTATCAAGAGTTGCCTATGTCATGATGTGTGAGTGCCCCTTAGTCCTGGAGTACTGTGAACCCAGCCTGCATCATAGGGGTGGGGTGTAAATGACAGGCTTGGTTCACAGAAGTGAGCAGAGTGATACGAATGTTCTTTTGCCAGAAAAGGAACATGAGACCAAGGAGTAATTTGGGAAAGCTCTGGAATATTGAGAAGTAGATATTGCCAATATTATTCTATATGTATTTTTTTTAATACAAGGGAGGCGAAGGTCCTCAATTTAAAAAAAAAAAAGATTGAAGTTTTACTTTACCTATTAGTGACAATGGAACATATGCACAGGCCAAAGCTTGGGCCTGTCTACAGCAAAAATTTCAGAGGTTCCAATTGGCACAGTGGAGACTTCAAGAGCCAGTACAGGAATACTAGAACAAGATGGAAGATGAATACTATTTACTATTACCTTCTAGTATTAATCGTGCCATAAAGTTGTTATTTTGAATGCTATTGTTTATCCCTCTGGCACCATCAATGATCCCTGAGAGGATGGGGTAGAACAACATTTCTGTGTAGGAGCTTTGTAGGTTCTCTTGGTGTTGTAAGCCTGAGACTCCATGCACACGGGGCGCTTTGATATCGCTGGTAACATTAGCTGTGTAAAGTCACGTTAAAAACGTGAGTTTTTTAGCATTTTTGCATTCGCGTTTAGCCGCGATTAGTGGCGTTTTGCCCCGTTTTTTCACGTTTGCGTTTTTTAGCGTTTTTTTTTTTACCAGATAATAAATAATTTTTTTTGGTCCAAAAAAGTAGCAAAACGCCGGTTTGCTGGGTTTTACCGCGTCTTTCAGCGTTCGAGCGTTTTCACAGCTAAAAAACTCTAGAAACCCACTAGTTCTGAGTTTTTTTTCCAGCCAAAAAATGTCCCAGTCAAAAAAACGTTGATTACAGTCTGTGTGCATGGACACATAGGATAACATGCTGGGGGGTTTACTGGCTGTAGAAAAAATGTAAAAGCCAAAAACAGCTGCTGTAAAAACGTCCGTGTGCATGAGGACTAAAGCTATATGTATCTGTGGATAGGACATGTGTGGAACTCTCAGTGCATGCTGTGTGTATTTTTAGTTGATTTCGGTAATTAGTCTGTTCAGCAGGGAAACCAGAAGCAGAAGTGAGAGTCTCCCCTGACTAACCTTCTCACTAGACTGGTTATCCCATCACCTCTCACATTGCTCCCTTTCATACACAGTGCCGTGCAGCCGGCCACTCAGCAACTGTTGCTGGATGCAAGGGGATAAAAAAGGTTGGACAAAATAACACGTCTCACAACAACACTTAACACATTTAAAGTTTTATCTACAGTACTTATTGCTATCCCTGGTTATTTTTCCAGCCGACTTAGAGCATTCTAATTAATTTTTTTTTTCATTACATACCATATTTTAGACCCTGTGGTAATATCACTGGGTCTCTGTGCTTCTCTATGCAATGCAGGCAGATTATTGTTGGTGGGAGGGGCCATCCAAGCACCCTACATAGCTTCTTGAAAACATCACAGCACCCTGCATCAATACTTCATGATCAGTCTTGATGCAAGTAGTGGGCTGGCTCTTGGGAGGTGCATCAAATTGGTCTGCATGGTTGTCATCCCAGAAGGAAGCCTTTTCTAAAGATGATGCACAAGAAAGCCCGCAGTTTGCTGAAGACAAGCAGACTAAGGACATGGATTATTGAAACCATGTCCTGTGGTCTGATGACACCAAGATAAACTGATTTGGTTCAGATGGTGTCAAGCGTGTGTGGCGGCAACCAGGTGAGGGGTACAAACACAAGTGTGTCTTGCCTACAGTCAAGCATGGTGGTGGGAGTGTCATGGTCTGGGGCTGCATGAGTGCTGCCCAGCACTGGGGAGCTACAGTTCATTGAGGGAACCATGAATGTCAACATGTACTGTGATATACTGAAGCAGAGCATGATCCCCTCCCTTCGGAGACTGGGCCGCAGGGCAGTATTCCAACATGATAACGACCCCAAACACACCTCCAAGATGACCACTGCCTTGCTAAAGAAGCTGAGGGTAAAGGCGATGGATTGGCCAAGCATGTCTCCAGACCTAAACCCTACTAAGCATCTGTGGGGCATCCTCAAACAGAAGGTGGAGGAGCGCAAGGTCTCTAACATCCACCAGCTCCGTGATGTCATCATGGAGGAGTGGAAGAGGACTCCTGTGGCAACCTGTGAAGCTCTGGTGAACTCCTTGCCCAAGAGGGTTACGGCAGTGCTGGAAAATAATGGTGGCCACACAAAATATTGACACCTTTGGGCCCAATTTGGACCTTGTCACTTAGGGGGGGACTCAGTTTTGTTGCCAGCGGTTTAGACATTAATGGCTGTGTGTTGAGTTATTTTGAGGGGACAGCAAATTTACATGTTATACAAGCTGTACACTCACTACGTCACATTGTAGCAAAGTGTCATTTCTTCAGTGTTGTCACATGAAAAGATAGAATAAAATATTTACAAAAATGTCAAGGGTGTACTCACTGCTGTGAGATACTGTGTGTGTGCATGTGTATATATGAAAATCTTCTGCCTCCCCCCCCCCCCCTTTTTTTTTTTTTTTTTTTTTTTTTAAATCACATATTCTTTATTCTTGCATAAAAGGCTCAGAGCTTGGGAGGAGAAACAGCAGTACACTGATCTTCCCAGTGAATGGCTGTGCAAAGTGTGTGGGGTGTCAGTACAAGTCTTGGCTGTTGGAGGACAGGCAGGCTGAGCTCCCAGCACAGCCAGAAAAATGACCATGCTGTTAAGGATGTGCTTCTATGGCCAACGTGGTCAGTTTGAAATAGGATTGGATCGGGAGAAAAAATCAGAGCATGTATGACCACCAAAAGATGTGTCTTTTTTCCCCTTTATTTTCACCTGGAAGGATTAGAATCTCTGTTGGGTCTTTATTGCTATCTCTCTTCTAACATTAGTTGGAAATGGAGTGTTCAACAGATGTTGAAAGTCTGATTTAAGTTTGATAAAGTATTCTGCCAAGAGAAGAGAAGTCGTTCCATTTCAGGATGCAGAGGGGACTTCCCTTTATCAGGGCTACATAAACCTACACACAGCATATGCTCAATTAATACTAAAAACAAGACCATGCGGTGGCCATTAAATGGCCATCCCTAATACCCAACAATAGGATGCCCATGTTATGGTCACATTCCTCAACTGATTATATTTGTACATACAGTATGCTGGCTATGTTTTTTGTCATTGGATGTTTATATAACAATTAACCAAACACTGTTTTTATAATGCATTTTCCTTTTTAGCTTTTTATTTGTGTCTAGGACAAAAAAAAAACACAATGTTTTGTTTTCTTTTTACCACTTGAATATAGTAGGTGTTGAGCACAAGACTATTTCTCCAAGGTTTCTTAAACCCATTTTACTGCTATGCTGTGAATAGCCTGAATTAGCCTCTTTAACAGGATATCAAATTACATTACCACAGCTGAAAATGACAAAGAAAAGGTTCTTTAACTCACTAATATTGTTGTTTAGCTGAAATTGCTCTTTAGGTTTTTAGCATTCTAACTTCGTATTCCCTGGTCAGTGGGCACCTGATTAAACACATATGTTTACTGAGTTAAGGTATGCTCATGCAATATTCAGTATACTTTACACAATGTTCTGATGGATTTGCTCTCTTTTATCCATAGAAATAAGAATGTCTAAACCGGGACATCTCGGGAAATTGCACACAGAAGGGGGTGTCACAGGTAATGTGATTGAATAAATGAAAATATTTATTTATTTTTCTTTAAAGTGTGTTTACACCCAGAACTCCTCATGAGTTTGAGTTTTGGAAGGACACAGTATATTGTTTGTTGTAGCATGCAGCATAGCATTTTTCCTCACCCTCAGGCAAGCAGACACTCATAATTGGCTTAGATTTCCTTTTGGATACACCTATAGGGAAATCTACTGGGATTACCAAACCTCCTACCATTATGGTGTCACTAGCCTCCTTTTGCAGTAGGTTTCAACCATGCTCTCTGTGGCCTTCAGTTAGCTGCAGATCCATTAACCTCCCATAGTGCCACCCAACCTCCCATTACCCTCAATCTCCCTAAAAGCCCTCAGTCCCCACAGTGCTTACTAACCTCCCACAGTGCCCTAGTCTCTCACCTTGCCCCTGTAAAGCTCCCTTACCCCTCTCCAGAGACCCCCATCCCTTGCAGTTGCCCTCAGCTCCCTTCAGAAATCACATCCCCTAAAAGGCCACGAAGTCTACTGCAGAGTCCCCTAAATGTCTTCAGGACCTTCACTCCCTCCACATTGACCCCCAGTCCCCATGCAAAGCCCTCTCTAATTTCAATACATATTTTGTATTCATATATTTTTATTTTGTTAGTATAAAGGTTTGTGTTTTTTTTAACTGCTGGGACATGAATGGTTTTTTGAAAGAAGTTACTGGGCCCTGGTCTCAAGAAGGTTGAGAACCACCGCTCTAGTGCACTGTCTGTAGGAGTATATGGAGAACATATTCCAGAAATTGCCAGACTGTACAGCTCACAGCAGTATGATGAATGTTTTGTTAGAATCGAAAGTTGTGGGATAGCTTGATGGCAGTTAAAATTTGGGGTTGTGGTCAGGCTTTACAGTTCATACCAGTGTGGTCAGTTCCAGTTTCAGAAAAAAAAGTAGAACATGCTGCATTTTCTCTACACTGAACTGTACTGGAATGCAGTAAAACGCATCCAGAATGCACCAGAACGTACATGTCCTTTTATTTAAGTTGAAGAAAAAAAGAGGAAAAAATGCACTGGAATGCATCAAAAACATGCATACAGAAACGCATCTGGACTGCATTTCTATGGTGTGAACTGGCCCTAGGGCCTCATTCACAGCAATGCAGAGACAAGTTTTTCTGCATGGGTTCTGCAAGGACACAAAGAAAACAATTCTCTCTACCTGCTCTGTTCACACCACAACACGTGTGGATTTTTTTCTGCGCAGGAATCTGCAACGTGTCTGAAACTAATTGAAGTGTACATGAAAACTGAAGTAAACTTGTGTCTCTGCAAGTGAAATCTGTGCGGTTTTATACACGTTTGGTGTGAACGAGGCCTTATTCTCTGCTCAGTAGCTAAAATATCAAATCACCAAATTATAATAGCAGAGCCCTGGACCAAATGTGAGGCTGTGATTCCAAATCAACCTTCTGTTACCAGGGATGTCCTCAAGATTAGTTTACTGAATGTAGAAGGGATGAGAGCCCCACTACACTAAATAAAGTCCAGTCAATTTTTCTTGTACATAAAAATAACCCAACGTGTTTCGGGGCTCAAAGCTCCCCCTTCATCTTGGCTCAAAATTCCAAATAAAACTGGACAAAAATTAAAAACTGGACAAAAAATTGTGCACATAACAGCATAAGATTTGTGGATGTAACAGGTTGCCAGTCAGGCAGTGTCTTCCTTTTTTTTTTTTTTTTTTGTTCCAGAAGGTGAACTTGGCTTTTAAACCACAACATAAAGCTAGTGTGATATAACTGACATAAGAGCACCTTATGGTGACTCCTTGGCTTCTGTGTGACAGCGGGATCCACTTCCTCCATTTGCCTGTATTGCTAATGCATTGCCAAATCCTTCTTCACACACTGAGGAAACCCCATTACTGTAAAATGTGACAGTTTTATTGCAAGGGAAGTCCTGTTCATCATTCTGGAATCCCCCCCTCCCTTCTCGGTGACCCGATGAGGAAGTCTCCTCCAGTGTGTGCTACAATTCTGCTGATCTCAGCTGCTGCAATCTGTCAGTCAACATTTCTCACACATACTTTCATTTTGTTTAATTTTTTAAAATTTGGGGTTTTTTTGTATTTAGCAGTGTTTTATGAGGGTTGCTGTACCAAGTAATGCAAAAGTGGACATACTTCCTTTTTTTTATTTTGTATCTTTTTTTTTTTTTTTTACATAAGTTGTTCAAATTTCTCATGTTGGTAGATTAATTCTTCTTTTTCTTCTTAATTTTCTTCTTTTTTCATCGTCTTTTTCTTCTTTCAGATAAATAATGGATTCCAAAGCAGAAGCAACGTTCTGTCATTGAGTTGTTGATGAAGGAGGTGCAGGCTGTCTAACATCCTCAGAAGGCTACATAATGTTTATAGAGATGACACACGTGCTCTTGCCAATGGTGTAATCTCTGTAAAATTCTGTAGCCTTCTGTCGATGTTAGACAGCCTGCACCCCTCCTTCATCAAGAATTCAATGAGGGCATGTTGCTTCTTCTTTGGAATTCATATTTATCTGTTGTGAAAAGAATTACTATAGAGGAAGAGTTACTCTACCAACATGAGAAATTTTAACAATCTACTGTATGTAAGTTGAAAAATAAAAAAATTTGAACAACCTATGTAAGTGAATAGAGTTTGTATTCCATTCAGTACAGCCCTCGTATTTTCTAATGCCACACGTTTGCTAGTTGCAAATTAAATATGAAAGTTTTATACAGTATATAGTTTAAAAGGTATTGAAAAACAGCCAATTTCTTTCTGCATACTAATAAAAGGTTATATAAGAACACACGTTGGGAAAAATTTCAAACATTTTGATCTTAGAAAAAAAATACCCGAGCTTCTTTCACAATATCAGTCATTCCAAATAACTGGCTCCAATAGTTTGTGAAAGCACAGGTTGTCTAACAAAAAAGAAAAAAAAAAATTGCATCTTAAGTTAAAATAATTCCTGGTGGTCCTGCCCCAAAGGTCCTTCTTCAAACACCTCCTGATAGAGGATGTCACATTTCCCTTAATGGAAACTACCAGTGGCCACGTAAACACACATGATACTGGCACAGTCCACTATCGTTACTATCAGGAAGTCAGTCCAAAGCAATGATGTGCCATTGACGATGGAGCATGGAGGCAGGAAGTGTCTAAAAGAGAGAGTGCGTGTTTTTGATAAAGTGGGCACTGATTGCAGTAAAGACAATTGTGTATGATACACAGTGTATTGTCAAACTAAATGTCATCCATTTAGGGTTTAGCTACACTTAAAAGCTGAACTGCAGCCAGGGGAGGACTGACAACTTATGGGGCACCCGGGCAATAGGGGATCATGGGGCCCCTGTGTCCTTGCCCAAACTCAAAAAAGCCTATGAAAAAGGTACCGGGGCATTTCATGGGGCCCCCTACTGACCCCGGGCCCTCGGGCAGTGCCAGAGTTTCCAAATGGTCAGTCCGCCCCTGACTCCAGCCTTCCCTTCAGTCTTGCACATGCACATTTGTACAGGCCCCTCTCCACTACTGAATTTGCTTACTCTGATTTCACTGCACACTGTGAGCTTCTCATAATGTGCATTAGAAGCTTCTGCAAGTCAGAGACCACCTAACTTCCTGACTGGAGGACATTCAGCCTTCTCTACCCCTTTCCACTTTAGCCTGACTCTTTCTGATGAGCCCCTTTCATTCTTGGATTTCAAATCTTTTAACACTGGGGGCTCAGTATCTCATGTCGGTGTGCATGCAAACGCAGCCTGCCTAAGAAGGCCCACTTCTCCGGACTGACACCCATCCAGGCATTTAGAAGTTTGCATAGCTCCTTTCAAGAGCCAGCCCACTGCTCGCAAAAGAGCTTAGGGCTCTTGACAGGATTACCGAGGAAGGGTGCTATGATGTTTTTTGGAATCTATGTATAGCAACCATGCCAGCCCTTCCCAGGGATTTGGAGTATCCCAACATAACACTTCCCAATCCCAGTTCCAAAACTAAATAAAAACAACAAAAACTACAACCCCTAGACTGATCATTGGAGTAATGAGCGGCAGTTTTATGCACCTGGCTATAGGAAATGCGGTTTGCTTGGCTGCAGGGGGGGGGGGGTCTGGGCAAGGTACAAATAACTCCTACGGGGGTTAATGCTACATTCTTTAATAATAATCTGAACACCATTAATCATAATGATAAAAAGTAAGAATAAGATCTTTTTTTTTTTTTTAAAGGATTTCTTGCTGTTGTTGATAATAATATTAATGTTATTATTATTATCATTAACAGCAAGAAAACCTTAAAAGAAAAAAAAAGTTTCTTATTTTTTATCATTATGATTAATGGCATTCAGATTATTATTTATTTATTATTTGAATACCATTAAACATAATAATGAAGATGATAATTATAGATCTTTTAAAAACTTTTGTGTAAAGGTATTTTGGATAATTTTATTTTTCATTTGTTCAGGTTATTTTTTTTTATTTTTTATTTTACAATTATTTTTTTATTTTTTTTTTTTAAAGGTGCTCAGGTAATGCCCTCTTGAGCTATTTAATTTGAGGAAGTTTCCAGGAAACTGAAAGCAACTTTTTCACTGCTAATGCCGTTTTCTACAAAGTTGTACATATTTCTGTGGGTTTGAGAAGACTGACCACATGAATGGTTATCTTGGTGCAAAGTAGATGGTTTACCAGTATGATGTCAAGCTGTAGCTGGTTCTCATTGACATTCTGTAGCAGTCATGTAGAGTGTGTCAGATAGCGGACTGCCCCAGGTTTTACTAGCCTCAGATATCAAAGTCTGATTTATATCTTATTATTTTCTTGCAGACAATGAAAGGAATGGCGCAGATGCCCTACATGAGGTAAACCATCTTTCTCTGTTCTGTTTTACTAATAATCATCTTTAGAATTGCTTGTTAGACATGTTGTTTGTGTATTTCAGGTGCAACAAAACAAGGGATCGTCTCCCTTCTCCCTCTCTCCAAAGGTATGTAGAGCAAGAGTTTTCACTATAACACAAAAATATTCATAGTTCGAAGACAAAATCTCCAGCAGTTATTTCATCCAACACTAGGCTTCGTACTGATGGTTGTAGAGTCCAAGGTGTATTTTATATTGGGGTAACAAAACACCAACGTGTTTTGGGATCAGGAATTGCCCCTTCGTCAGGACTACAATAAACATCCAACGTGTTTAAGAGGGGTTCAGGCACTACCCCATTATCAGGACTATAATACACATGTAACACGCTTCAGACAGTTCAGGACCTGTGCCTTCATCAGGACTACGATACGCATTCAATGCGTTTTGGACGGTTCTGGCACTGCCTGCTCATCAGAGCTACAGTCCACAAACCACATACAACTAACTAATTAAACTCTCAATCTCTTATTGTCTACATCAAAAGTAAACTGTAAGCCAGTGGTGATGCAGGCTTCAAGGGGAGGACTTTTATTAATACATGTGACATGTATGTAATATTGACTATATTCATGCCCTTTGAGCCTATAAACCTTGTCCAATCACCATTTTCTGTTTGCCCTGAGAATGAAAATGATGGAAAAACCCAAATTTTAAACTGTCACCGAAACAGGAATAGAAATGAAATCGTCTGATGGGAACACCTTTCTAAGAAGTATTCTCACGGTGGAGAGATTTCCTCATTTCTGTTGTCTGTGGGGCCAGAGGTGAAGGGAAATCTCTGCAATGGGGCATACAAGGGGGAAAAAAAAAACAGTTTTAACCCTTGCTTATGCTTTGCAAGATTAAATAAAAAGGTTTGACTATATATTTTGATTTCCATGAGATAAGTTGCACCAGCAATGTCCATCTACTTTTCTCCCTTCCCCCTCATTGTCATAAAAATGCAAACTAGAGCATTCCAAGCAAAGCCTGCTTATGAAAGATCTTTGGCCAGCTGCCTGATTTTAAAATACAGCACTCAATGACTGCACTGCTACAGACGTAAGGACAGTCCTTCACATGCTTTATTTATTGACTTAAAAAGTAGCCTTTAAAGCAGCACCTTTGCATGATTTTCTGTATACTGACACAGATGTATAGATGCACCGGTCAGCCATATTGCTTGTGAGTGCATGATGGGAGCACTGGGAGCTGTGTGTGGTTCAGTGTAGCCTGGGACATAAGAGGGGAAACCCCGGTTCTGTCACAGTCTCAAACTCGTTTTCTGACTTCTCTCTTTTACTTCCCCATACACCAATTTTACGGTATATCTTCCCCCAGACCATGATTCTGAACACATTGTCTAATTTTTCTTTTTTCACAAATGAGTCAACATTCTAAGTTTATTTTAAAGTCATTAAAGTATAATTCAAAGGATTCTATAGGACAAAAAGTACCATAACCACAAAAAAAAAAAAAAAATCAGTTTTGTGGCCCCTGCCAAAATGAGGCAAGATGTATAAAAATTTTTCTTGACTGTAACAACCAATGGGATTCCAGTTGTAATTTTTTCTATTTAAGATTATAACATTTATGAAACATTGTGATAGTTCTGAACCCTTTCATTGCATTTTTCTTTCCTATATACCGGTAACTATTTTATTAATTGCAACCAAACTCAAAAAAATTAAGATTCACTTTTATTACAGAATCTAAAATAAGAATGGTCGGTGTTTCCTCTTGGCAACCAGTCTGGTTCTAATCTATACTGGAAAACATCAGAAAATGAAATATTAAATGTGTTTGTGGTGAAGCCGGAACACCTTGTTCGTATCTCATACACTGCAATAAACGAGATGTGAAGTTAAAAATTTCTGTCTCAATAAGTTTACATCCAGCTTCAGTTTTAAAGTCTTGTTTTTTTATCGACCGCTCATATATTGATAAAACAATCCTCTGAATTTACAGTTGGAGCCTGAAAGAGCAAAGCAGAGTATTGAAAGTTAGTGTATCGTAACAGTGCTTCCAAAGGTGGGTGGGTGGGGAGTTGAGGGAAAAACATTCCAAATAGCATTTAACAGGGAAAATGATCTGTTTTGGGGGGATTCCTTTAAACCTAATTTCAAAGGCCTCTTTTAATATAGATGAATGTGAAAGTAAGAGAGAGAACAACATTATATGGCCTAAAGTTTGTGAACATCTGACCATCATATCTATATGAGCTTGCTGAATATCTCATTTTAAAACCACAGGTATTAAAGTGACATAAAAGGCTAACTGCCACGCAACAGACAGATTTGTAGTTTCAATGGGCTGCGGGGGCACTGTCATGTTCTTTGGCTTTCAAACAGACAGCCTGTATAGAGGTATAAGCTGAAAGCTGGTGAATGTCTGCAGGAACCCACATTTCACCCATGATCTACTGATCTGCAGTGCAATGGTTTCCAGGCTCCTGCAGGAAGAAGTAAATAGCGCACTTTTTTTTTCAGCAAAAATATGCTTTTTATGTGTGTTGTTTTTTTTTTCTTATACTTACCTGCTCTGTGCAGCTATATTGCATAGAGCATCCCCTTACCTCCTCTTCTGAGTCCCCTGCCAGCTCTGTCCGCTCTTTCTTCCTGTGTGTGGGGCACTCATAGCAAGCCTCGTGCTATGAGAGCACCCTTGTGGGTCTACTCCCAAGCTTGGCTGTGTCTATGTGTTTGGACAGTGGGGAAAACTCGCATAATCACAGGTAGAATATACAAACTCCATGCAAATAATTCCCTACGTGGCATTGAAAGCAATGTTAGAATATTAATTGTCAAGATACTGTGCTAAACCTGTCACCTTCACCAACAAAAGATTTGCAATCTTCACGGAGAATAGAATTTGACCAGCTTTTATAGGCCTTGATCATTTGCAAATAGACTTCTTGATGTTTATTCTTTAGTACTGCTTGGCAGTAAGTCTCAAAACTGGCATTGAATACACATCTGCAGTTATCCCAGTTAGTATCTGTGATGGACAGTATCCATTCTGAGTTATTTTGTCTCTGTGTAGATTACAGATGAAGAATGTGGGGAAAGATCCCCGTCTCTCCCTGGCACTCCAGTTCCCCCAACTGCCCCACCTACCCCACAGGCTCCTTCTGCCCCACAGCAACCGCCTACCTCCCTTCCACAGACACAGCTTCTCCTTGCTGGCAGCCAGCTTGCTGGGGTAAGTACTTGTCCCTTTTTCTCCATGCTGTTCTTCATTTCGCATTTACGGGGAGCCTAGTATCACATCAGCTGACCACACAATACATTTATTTAGTCCCGCTGGACCACAGATATAAATGATCAGTTTCATGTCTGGTACACATAATAGCCATGTCTACTGTCATACTATATAATTATATTCCCAACTGTTTTATAGGATTGCCCTGTGGCAAATACTATGCCAGTATTCCCATGATGCCAAACTGATTATCTGCAATTCAGGAAAATGTCATTTTTTTGCTATAACAGCATTATTGCACTTTTATCTGTTATATGTAGCAGACATTTTTAAACGCATATTACTTATTTTACTCAAACTTTTTAAAGTGCCCTCAAACTA